TTCCTCCCCCCCCCTCGCCTCCCCCTTTCCTCTTTTGTGGTGCATCAGTAGCATTGGGTTTGTGATGTTAGATTACTTATTCTCTCTGGGCCTTTGGGGATGTTTTGTGGAGATCCTACAATAAGTCACTCAGCACAGCACCTAGTAGGGAAAATTCAGAAACTGTTGAACAAGGTGGTTGACTAAATAAATGATCATCTTTCTTGAAAGTTTCCATTGGTACCCCCTAAGCTTTTTTTTTGATTAGCTGGGTCACCAGAACCATTCATTGGTGGGAAAGTGATTAAGGCCTTCTGAAACAGCTTTCTTCTGGTTTAAGTTTAAAAGGAAATTTCATTAACACAAAATGGTTAGCAAGTGAAAGAATCTTGAAAGAATATTGATTAAACTTGCGTCCATCAGATAGCACATGCCTACATTCTTTCTTCAGGGTTCCTTAAGTATTATACAACAGTAATGGATTATTTCCTTTGATTACCCTGTAGAAACTGCTCTTTCCTAGTCTGTATTTTTCTTTTATCTTCCTTCATTGTCCACAACACCAACTTCTTTTTCTTTTCCATTCCCTCCCTCCTTCTGTCCTTCCTTTGGAGGCAGAGCCTTACTATATATATACTTCACTTTGACCTGAAATTTGCTGTGTAGCCCAGGCTGTCCTCAAACTCAAGCTCTTCCTGCCTTAGCCTCTAGAGTGCTGAAATTACTGGTATGTGACCCCAGGCCCAATTCTGAGATATATTTTCTTGTGGATTGTCTGTGTCTGTGCCTTACTTTATTAAAATGAGCGTTCAGTTGGGCAAGGTCTTTGTTTCATTACTAATGTATTTCAGCATTTAGACTTTAGTGCCTAGTTGTGGATATTTAGGGGAATACGAAGGAGAAAACCACAGGATTGATTCCTTTTCTAAAAATTTATTTTTTAAGGCTGGACATGGTAGCATAGGAAGGCCTGTAAGCCTAGCACCTGGGAGGCGGAACACTAAGATCAGGAGTTCAAGAGCACTCTAGGCTATATAGCCAGTTTGAGGCTAAGGACAACCTGGGCTTCAGTGTGAGGGGTCTTAGAAACCAGAAACAAAAAATGCTTGTAATCCTAGCACTTGGGAGACTTGCATTCCTGGCTAGCAAAGCTACCATAGTACAACTCTGCCCCGCCCCCAATACAGTTACTTTAAATTTTTGATTGACATAAAACCACAATGCATGTTTATACCATGATTCTTTTAAAAGGTCTAAGTGAGCCGGGAGTGGTGACCCATGCCTTTAGTCCCAGCACTCAGGAGGCAGAGGCAGGCGCATCTCTGTGAGTTCGGGTAGCCCCAGCTGGCCTGGAACTTACTATGTAGACCAGGCTGGCCTTGAACTTAGAGAGATCCACCTGCCTCTGCCTCCCAAGTGCTGGGTTTAAAGGTGTGCATCACCATGCCCAGCCCAAAACTATGTTTTTAAAGTTAAAGACATTTTGAGGTAGACATGGTGGTGTACACCATGGGAAGGAAGAGGTAGGTGGATCTCGGAGTTCAACCAGCCTGGTCTATATCCATAGTGAGTTCTAGGCCAGCCAGGGCCATATGAAACAAAATAATTTTTAAAAACAAAAAGCCTTTAAAAATTTTTTTAGTATTATTTTTTATTTTATTTTATGTGTGTGAGTGTATTGCTTGCATGTATGTGAGTGCACCTGTGTCGTGCAGTGTTGCAGAGGTCAGAAGACGGCTTTGGATTCCCCTGGAACTGGAGTTGAGGACAGTTCATAGCCGTGATGTGGGTGCTGGGAACCGAACCCGGGTCCTCTACAAGAGTAGTCAGTGCTCTTAACTGCTGAGCCATCTCTTCAGCCCCGAAACAAAATTATTTTTAAAAAGAAAAAGGCTTTAAAAATTTATTATTATTTTTTGGTCTTTTTGAGACAGGGTCTCCCTGTAGCCCCAGCTGGCCTGGAACTTGCTATGTAGACTAGGTTGACCTCAAACTCACAGAGATCTGCCTGCCTTTGCCCCTGCCCCCCCCCCCCGCCCCCAGTGCTGGGTTTAAAGGTGTGTACTACCATGCCTGGCCAAAAAAAAAAAAAATCTTATTTTGGAGGCAGCAGCAGAGATTCTGTTGATGAAAAATGTTGATTAGAATAGCATAGCGTGGTGGCCCATGCCTTTAGATCCCATTACTTGGGAGGCAGAGGCAGGTGGATTTCTGTGAGTTTGAGGCCAGCCTGGTCTACATAGTGAGTTCCAGGACAGCTGGGGCTACAGGGAGACCCTGTCTCAAAAAGGCCCCCCCCCCAAAAAATAGCATATTCTTTATTATAGTAACTCTTCTATCCCAAAGAAAAACTTATTTCTGCTTTTTCTCAATTGGGGGCAAGTGATCTTTGCTCTTTTTAGATGGTGACCTGATCTAGTAAAGCAGTTCATGCTGATTTCCTTCTAGGGATTGATTCTCTCTCACAGCCCCACAGTGTCAGTAGGTTGATGCATGGTATCTGTGGAAGGGAGCAAAGACAGGGAGGGACACCACCACTTCCACTTCCCCTCTCTTTTTGGAGACAGAGTCTTGCTGACAAGTGTAGATTGGTCTGGGACTCAGGTTTGGGTTTGGGGATTGTTTTCCTGCTTTTGGTTTCTTTGGCTGTTACCACATTTGTTCTTTCTCATTACATATCCATTTCTAAGGAATTGATGTAGCACAGTTTGATCTTAGACATTAAATTTTTTTTGACTTATTTTATAAGGTGTTGGATCCCCTGGAACTGGAGTTATGGATGGTTGTTAGCTGCCATGTGGGTGTTAGGAACTGAACCTGGGTCCTCTGTAAGAGTAGCCAAATGCCCTTTACCCCACTGAGACATCTCTCTAGCCCCGGATCTTAGACATTTTATTTTATTATTTTATTTTATTTATTTTAATTTTATTTTATATTTTTGGTCTTTTTGAGAACAGGGTCTCCTTGTAGCCCCAGCTGGCCTAGAATTCACCATGTAGACCAGTCTGGACTTGATCTCACAGAGATCTGCCTATCTCTGCCTCCCAAGGGCAGTTATTAAAGTGCCACCACACCTGGCTTAATCTTAGACCTTAAATGCCCAAGCTTGAAATATCTTTTATCTTGAAGTTATATACTGTGGTTTTCTTTTATTAGTGTCTTATATCAGTTCATGATCAGAGTTCCCCAGTTATTTCAGATATCTTTCCATGGCTAACTTGTTTGACCTAGGGTCCAAAAAGATTCCTACATTGTAATTGTCTGTTGTGTTCTTAAATCTCTTAGGTCTTTGCCCCTCCCTTCTTTCATATGCTGTTTATTTCCTGGAGAAACTAGGTCATTTGTTCTGCAGGAATTCTAATGTTCTAGGTGTGGAATCTTTTTATGTCCTAGGAACTTGAACTTAGATCTTCATTAGGTTTGGGTTCAAATTTTTTATAAGAATACTTGACTTGTAAGCCGGGTGTGATGATGCACACCTTTAATCCTAGCACTTGGGAGGCAGGGGCAGGGGGATCTCTGTGAGTTCGAGGTCAGCCTGGTCTATATAGCGAGTTCCAGGCCAGTTGGGGCTACAGGAGACTCTGTCTCAAAAAGACCAAAAAGAAAAAAAGAATTTGTTGTGGTTGGGCATTTGGATACCTCAAATTTATGGTCTGGCACAATTGACTGATAGGTTTAGGTGCTAATAACATTTTTTTTTAAAGATTTAAAAAATTGTGTGTGTATGCGATGTATGTGATGTGAGTGCTTGTGCACAAGTATGTGCAGGTGCCTGCAGAGGCGAGAAGAGGGTGTTGGATCCCTTGAACTGGAGTTACAGGCACTTGTAAGCTTCCTGATGTGGGTGCTGGGATCTGAACTCAGGGCCCCATGATTGAGCAACCCGCTAATAACCTTTTTACCTTTATTTCAGAGAAGCTTGATTCTTTGCTCTCAGACTACGATATCCTCTCTTTATCTAATATCCAGCAGCACTCCATAAGGAAAAGGGATCTACAGGCCTTGACACACTTAGAAACACTACTAACTTTTTCAGCTTTGAAAAGGTAATTAGAATTATACATAGAATAATGTTGGGGCAATGCAGGGTTTGGGGCTTGGTTTGGCAAAAACAGTTAAAAGGGTATCTACAGAAATCTTAGGAAATTCTTAAAGATTTGTAATTGATGTAATTATACTTGATTCTAATATGGTGCAGTGCCTATTCTAAAATCCATACTGATAAATATTTTAAAGTAAATGGGTATCCCAAAAATTACTGATGGTTAACAAATATGTTTATGAAATTCTAACAACAATTTTTGGTTAATTGAATGCATATAATAGTTTACATTTTTGGTGCTATAGTAGAACTATTGTCAATAATCTAAATATTTTTATCTTACATATGAAGACATAAAGATTTAATGATAAAGGTTTTGCTGAGGATCCCACATGGTGGGCTAGGTCTAAAGTTTAGTGTTATTTCTGGTCTAAGTTCCTCTAACTTCATAAAATAGATTGATTAATATGGTCTATTTGGGCAACAATTTTAATATGACATGTTTTGAATATTTAAATCTGTTCAGTAATGGCAGGCCTTGTTCTAAGTTGAAATTTAAAAGTATTTAGAAAGAGCAGTAGGAGAATATTAATGGGCTGAATTTTTTAAATTCACTGGCTAGGACTTTATTACATTAAAAAAAAATACAAATAACATTACCAGTGTTTTCTAAAAAAACAAAACCCCTAGCCCCAGCAGCTCCCAAAGACTGGACTCTACTCTTTGTCCCAACACATCTATTAAAGAGCCAGTGATAAGTAGCAGAGATTTATTCATTGTGGCCAAATTAGGAAGAGGAACAAATAAAAGGGTCCAGTGACACCCTACCCCCAGTCTGTCTTTTAAGGCACCAACATGAGCTTTCAATTTAAGCAGAGAAACAACTGGTTCAAGGGGTGAAAAGTATGTATAATTAAGCAGTTCTGGTCAGGATGTGATCCTGACTGTCACTGTCTCAGTTCTGGTTCTGCATGGTGGTCCAAAGAATCCCTTATTGGCTGTCATCATGTGAGTGCATTCAGTCTGATTCCTACAGTATGATTACTTTTGTTCCAGGATGCAGCCTCACTTTCCTGGATTATTGCCCTCATCTAAGCTGGTAGGGGTCTCTCCTGTAAGGGTTTGTTCTTCCTGAAAACACAGGGTGACTTGTGGCCCCAAGTGTGGGGTAAATGCTTTTTAACATAAACACCTACTAAGTGCCTGTTTCAGTAATACATTCACCTGATTTAAAAGTCAAAATACCCCATAAGTAATGGGGCAGAGTTTAGTTGTCTATAGAGTGCTTATCTAGCATATATACAGTCCTGTGTTCTATCACTAGTACTTCTCACCCCGCAACCCCCTGCAAAAGTCTCATAGCAAGTATAGTATGTTTTCATTTCCTAACTCATTCATGTTTCCCAGACTCAGAAGTTTCCTATTTGTAAACTTCTAAAAGATTTTAGTGTATATTTTTTGCAAATAGATTTATGCATCTCATCTCTGAGTTCTGTATTGGTGGATTTAACTAACCACAGATCAAATATATTTGAAAACAATTTCATATGTATTGAACATGTACAGAATTCTTCTTGTCATTGTGTCCTGAAAAGTACAGTATTTTAATTTAATTTAATTTATTTATTTAAGACAGGATCTACTATGTAGCCCTGGCTGACTTGTAACTCACTGCATAGACCAGGCTGCCCTTGAACTTGCAGTGATCCTCTGCCTCTCAAGTGCTAAGATTACAGCATGTGATACTTACTACAACTGGTTTTTATATGGCTGGGGAAGCCAGGCCCTTATGCATGCTAGTTAAGCACTCTACCAACTAAGCTACAACCCTCCCCCCTTCCAGTATACTAGGTTTTACAGCATTTAATTTTTACTTTCTGAGAAGGTAGGGTATCTCATAGTTTGATTTACATTTTATGTGAAATTGAGCATCTTTTCATTTGTTTTAGTTTTTTGTGAATTGCCTTTTCATGTGCTTTGACCATTTTTCTGTTAGATTTACCTTTTGGCTACTGAATTGTAGTATTGCTTCATACATTAAGGAAATTGGTCTATTGTTGCATGTTACTGATATTTTGTGCAAAAAAATTTTACTTTTTCCCGACTATTGCCATAGCTGTATGTTTTTTTCACGTGACTTCTTTTGACTGGATTTTATGTAAAGTAGCACAGTACGGGTTCGCTAGCTTCCAGCCAGCAGCAGATCTGAGCAGGGTGATGATTGCTGCAGTCATCAGGTGCTTACTTTGTATTATTTATTCTGTTAGCACTTGACATGATCGTCATTGGTTCTCACCATTCTCTGCATGGCTCTTCCCCTTTTGTAGATGTATATATGCACACATATGACTCATAGACATTAGGTAATGTGCCCAAACTTATTTAGCTACTAGATGGCTATATGTACACAGGTCCAACTCCAAAGTTAGCTCTTTCTGCAGTCCTGGGGAGAGTTTGGGGAAGGAAGGGAGATAGGAGCAAGAAATGGTTAGTAGCAGGGGAGGAGGACAGAAGAACAAAGCTTAGCTTCTCTCTCTGTAGATCTCAAGTGGCTTGTAGAATCCTTACCTATTATCAGGTCACATGCTTCCATAGCTTTACATATTTATATTTCTTTCATGTTTCATAGATGACTTTGATTCATTAAGAATATGTTAATATTCACTTCTCACTGTGTAAAGAAGCAGCAAAGTTTATTTTACAGTTTTGATCTTACCTATTTAATAGGAATTGCATCTAACAGCTTATGAAAATGTTATACTGTGTGCTTCAAAATAGGCTATTTCGTGTCAGATGTGGTGGTACATTTTTATCCTAGCACTTGGGAGACAGAGGCAGGCTGATTGATCTCTGTGAGTTCAAAGCCAGCCTGGTCTACATAGCCAGTTTTAGACCAGCTGGGCCTACAGGGAGACCTTGTCTCAAAAAACCAAAAACAAACAAACAACCCTCCCCCCCCAAAAAAAACCCCACAAAACAACCTATTTTATCTAATCCTCATGCTGTATTCACTTAGTAGATTTTTTTTTTTTTAATTTGTAATTTGTAGATGAATGGTTTGGTTCTGAGGTTAAGGCCAAGGTCAAACAGTAAATAAAGGTAGAATTTGAACCAAGGTTTTCAGATTCCAAATTGAATACTCTTTTTTTTTTTTTTTTTTTTTTTTTTTTAGCCTGCCTTGAGAGCATGAGGGATGTAACCATTTGTCCTGGAGAATGATAGAATATTTTTTTTGTCTATTTCTGTAGAGTAAAAAATAACTCTGGCTAGCTGAAACAATCAGGGCGTATGATGGTTGACCTTGCCTTTCAGAAGTCACTGCTGCTTGATTGATGGAAAATGAGAAGATTCTCTCTTTTTTTTTTCTGTCTTTTGGAGACAGGGTCTCCCTGTAGCTCTAGCTGTCCTGGAACTCACTATGTAGACCAGGCTGGCCTCGAACTCACAAAGATCCGCCTGCCTCTGCCTCCCAAGTGCTGGGATTAAAGGCATGCGCCACCACGCCCAGCCAGTTCTCTTTTTTTAAGTAGTAGTGGAAGGCAAAAATAATTTAAACCAAGATTACATTAGATTCTAATGTGACTATAGCGATAAATACCCAAAGACGAGTTGAGGTAGTTTTCTGAAAAAGGAACCTTGTTTAAAATTTGCCTCTAAGTTATATTTCCCGTTTGGTACAAATAAAGAAATACTTATTCTATAGTAATGAAAAAGCTGTAAAAATTGTTTTAATTCTTCTTGATAGTGTTGCCAGATTTTTTAAAAAATTTATTTTAAATTTTGTGTCTGTGTGTGTCTATGTATGTGAATGAAGGATCTCTTGGAGCTGGAGTTACAGGCAATTGTGAGCCACCTGACATGGGTGCTAGGAGCTAAACCAGGGTCCTCTGCAAGAGCAGTACACATTCTTAACCGCTGAGCCACCTCTCCAGCTCCTCAGAATTACTTTTTGAAAAACTTAAATGTTTTTCCTGAAAAATGAAACAGCTCAGATTGAGGGTGACTAAAACTGATTAAGAAATGAAAATATTATGTCCCACAAAATGGGCTGCTGAAAATAGGAAAGTAATGTTAATTCAGACTGGTTAGCACTGGTCTGTTATTACTGTAAATTCTTGAAAGTCAGAAAGACAAGTTTCTAAGCAAATTAACTTCATATAGTTTGGGAGAGTAAAGGAAGATATATATATATATATTTGGTCTTTTTGAACCAGGCCCAGCTGTCCTGGAACTCACTATGTAGACCAGGCTGGCCTTGAACTCAACAGAGATCTGCCTGCCTCTGCCTCCCGAGTGCTGGAATTACAGGCGTGTGCCATCACGCCCAGCAGGAAGATATATTTTAACTGACATCCTATTTAGTGGTTTTCTAGCTCAACCCTAAGTTTGGAAAAATTTAAAAAGCACAAATTTTACCATTACTTGATCTTTGTTGTTGTTCTTTGAGGCAGGGTCTCCCTTGTAGCCCCAGCTGGCCTGGAACTCTCTATGTAGACCAGGCTGGCCTTGATCTCACAGAGATCTGCCTGCCTCTGTCTCTGGGGTGCTGGGATTAAAAGGCATGTGCCACCATGCCCAACTTTGGTCTTTATTTTTATTAATTATTATTAAAAAGATTTTATGCACACAAGCTCATGTGTGCTGGTGTATGCATTCCACAGCAGGTGTGTAGAGGTCAGAGGACAGTCTCAAGGACAGTCTCAAGTGTTGGTCCTTGCTTTCCACTTTTTAAAAATATATATTTTAAATATTTTATATAGCATTTTTATTTTATGTGTATGAGTGTATTGCCTATATGTATGTAAATACCCCCATGTCATGCAATGCCTGCAGAGATCGGAAGAGGGAATCAGATCCTCTGGAACTGGAGTTACAGATGGTTGTTAGCTGCTATGAGGGTGCTGGGAACTGAACCTGGGTCCTCTGCAAGAGTAGCCAATGCTTTTAACCGCTGAGCCATCTTTCCAGCCCCATATATATACACATTTTTTTAATTGAGTTTTTGTACATTTCATATAGTACATCTTAATCATATTTAGACCCCCTCTCCTATCAGCACCCCCACCATAGCCCTTCCCCACTGGATTTCATGCATTCTGTCATATATGTTAAGGCTTATTGAGTCAAATTTGTGTCTCCGGGTGTGTCTCAGTGTGAGTTCATCCACCAGAGCCTGGTCAGCTTATCTGGCATCACTCCCTTAAAGAAGACCAACTTTTCCTCACCCAGATCAATTGCCAATAGTTCTTCAGCTGAGGTTGGGGCTTCTTAGCCATTTTCCCAGTTCTATGCTGGTTTTTTGTCTGGTTTGAGTTTGCATGAGTCTTGTATATGTTGTCACCATTGCTGTAAGTTCATATGAGGAAGTTCCCAGCTGCCTGGAAAACTCTTCCTTCCTTGTGGCCATCTACCACTCCTGGCTTTTATAGTCTTTCTGCCCCCCTCTTTCACAGTGATCCCTGAGCCCTAGTGGAAGAGGTTTAATATAGAAATCCTATCCAGGGACACACCCTCTGCAGTCTCTTATTCTCTACATTTTTTGCCTTCCACTTTGGGTTCTGGATTCCAACTCAGGTCCTCACCTTTGCATGACAAGCACTTTACTCGCTGAGTCATGTCCCCAGCCCCAACAGAAGATTCTTCATGTAGAAAATTCACAATGCAATTGCTATGACTTTTCCCAGGAAGAACATTAAAAATAATATTATGAATCATGGAGAGCTTTAAAATTAAATAATAGGGATGCTTTTCTTTTCAAAATTCCCAGAAGAACTAAAGGTGTAAAAAAAATAATGATAATATCTAGGAAGACACATTTTTGGAGAGCAGAGGAAATAGTCCAAGGTTTTATGAAATAATGCATTGTCTCTCTTTTTCTCTAACTATTAAAAAACATACAAGCAAAACTAAAATAGCCTTGTATGTTCAAAAAGTTAAAAATACTTGTTGCTGTGGAGACACTCCCAGTCTGGATTCCTTCCTGGCGGTTGAAAGACTTATGTAGACTCGTAGGAAAGCAACATTTCATATTTTCAACACCATAGCTGACAAAATTTGTTCCTGTGACTGAGATGAATAGTGTACCTTTCTTTGCCTTGGGTGTTAATGGGCACATTGAAAGGGGTCTGTAAATAATCACTGTAAAAATCTGGCTCACCACTCTGAATTTTTAATGTCAGAATAAAAATGCCTAGAAAACAGAAAAGAATATTAAGCCATGTAGAGAACATAAAAATTTGTTTTTATGTCTGCATTTAGAAGGTTGGTGTTTATTTCCCTAGTTGTAATTATGGATTAAGTTTTTTCAAGAGTTTTTTGAGGAGGGTCCAAGTATGAGTGCTTTTATATTGTATATTTATTTATGTGTGTGTATGTGGGTGAGTGTGCCGTGGCATGCCTGGGAGTTGATTCTGTCTGTCTGTCTGTCTGTCTGTCTTTTTTGAGACAGTTTCTCCCTGTAGTTCCAGCTGGCCTGGAACTTACTTTGTAGACCAGGCTGGCCTTGAACGGACAGAGATCAGAGATCTGCCTGCCTTTGCCTCCCAGGTGCTGGGATTAAAGGCATGCGCCATCACGTTGGGCATTTGTTCTCTTTTTTATCACCTCAGCCTCACTGATCAAATTCAGGTTGTCAGGCTTGGAAGCAAGCATGTTTACTTGTGAGCCATCTGGCTGCCCCCCCACTTAAAAATTACTTTCTTTTGGTTTGCTCAGGTTTTATAACTAAAGATACTGGTCCATTGTCTTTATAGGAAAAGTACTGCTCAAGTACCTAGTAAAATATTAGTGACAGGGCTGGAGAGACTGCTCAGTGATTAAGCACACTTCCTAATCTTTGAAGGGATCTGATACCCTCTTCGGGCTTCCATGGGCACCTGCACACACATGCATATACACAAAACAGACACTAATAATAAGTCTTTTAAAAATTATTAGTTATCACTTGGGTGGATATTTATTCTTGTCATCTCCTAGATTTAGAAAAGTTTAATGAAATAAATATTAGTCTTCTTTTTTTTTTTAATCTTTAAACTGTGAATACATTCTCTCTTTAGGCATTTTAAATTATACCTGACATCAAGTTCTGAACGCTTTTCACAAAACTTCAAAGTTGTGGTGGTGGATGGTAAAGATGAAAGCGAGTATACCGTGAAGTGGCAGGACTTCTTCAGTGGACATGTGGTTGGTTAGTATGGAGCTTATATTTGCCCTGTTTTTAAGGAGTTATGTTTTGTGCTAGTCACTCTTAGCTGTGACAGAATACCTGACATAAATAACTTAAAAAGAAAAACTTTATGTTAACTCATGGTTTCAGAGGTCTGAAGTAAGCCAGAACATCATGGTGGCAGAACTCTGTGGTAGAGGAGGCTACTCACCTCATGGTGGCCAGGAAGCACAGAGAAAAGAGAAGGACATGCCCCCAGTGACCTTCTTTCTCTAATCGAGCCCCATCTCCTTACTAGTCATCTCCATTCTGTCATATATCAGTGGGTTAATGCCTTGATGATGATAGAATCCACATGGTATCTAATCACCTTTCCCAAAACTGAACTGGCCACTAAACTTAATTTTTATGGGATATCTTCAAATTCAGATCATAATAGGTCTAACTTAATTGCATAGTCTTTTTTTTCTGGTGGATGATAGGGAAAGAGGTATCATAGTGTGCTGTATGATTTTATTTGAACTATGTAAGTTTGGAAGCAGAAACCTGCGAATAGGGGGAAATAGGTATCATCTAGCATATCATATTAATTGGCTAGCATCTCTTGCTCCCTCCTTCCTTCCCTCCTTCTCTCCTAAATAACCCAGGCTGGCCTCAAACTCTGTCTTCCTCCTTCTGCCTCTCAGTGTTGTATTGTACCACACCTGGCTAAAGTTTACTTTTTACTTTTTCTGCAATAAGAATTGAACACTCCAAATTACGTAATGTTAGATCTATGTATTCTAAAGACCTATATATTCTAAATTGTGCTTCCTTAGTTCTTTTTTGAGACAGGGTCTCACTGTGTAGCCCAAGCTGGCCTACAGCTCATGAAAATTCTTCCTGCCTCAGCCTCCTGAGTGCAGGGATTACCAGCTCTTCTTCCTACCCAAATTTAGGTAAAGCTAGCAGAAGAAAATCTATAGGTTTGTTTGTTTGGGGAAATGAATGGATTTCAAATTACTTGCGTTTGCTCCTTAGCTAAGATTAAGGTTGGAATTTCGAAGCTTTTTTTCAAGAGCCCTTTTTTTTGTTGGCAGAGCTTTTACATTACCAAGGTTAATTCTAATCTGATGAAGGATTTCCTTGATTTTTACTGTCAACAATGAATAGTTTATTATTTGATAAAGTTATTTTTTATATTTATTCATTTGTGTGTATGCTTGCTTGCATGAGTGATATACGTATCAGAGGACAACTTTCAGGAGTCCCCATGGGGTTCCTGGGGATTCAGCTGAGGTCATTGGGTTTTGCCACAGTGGCCTTTACTACTGATTCATCTTGCTGGCCCTGCTAAAAAATTTTTTTGGTTGCTTTTAAACAACTATTTTATTTATTATCTTTATTTTCTGTGTATGAGTGTTTTGTTTGTGTGTATGTAAGTGCACCACATTCATGCAATGCTCCACAGAGGCCGGAAGAGGGTGTTGGATCCTCGGGAAGAAGAGCAAGTGTTCTTACCTGCTAAGCCATCTCTCCATCTGCCTCTGCCTCCTGAGTGCTAGGACTTGAGGTGTGTGCCACTAGAGCTGATGCTAAAAATATTTTTAATAATAAAAATATCTTTTTTTCCCCCCAAGGTGAGCCTGACTCTAAGGTTCTAGCCCATATAGGAGATGATGATGTTACAATAAGAATCAATACAGATGGGGCAGAATATAACATAGAGGTAAGTCTACATGTGAGAGGTTTTTTGTTTGGTTTTTATTTGTGGATAGGAGGTTGAGACAGGGCAGTCCAAGCTGGCCTCTGTGTGGCTAAGGTTGGCCTTGAACCCCTGGTCCATCTTTCCTTCCTTCCTTCCTTCCTTCCTTCCTTCCTTCTTTCCTTCCTTCCTTCCTTCCTTCCTTCCTTCCTTCCTTCCTCTTTCTCCCTTTCTCCCTTTCTTCCTTCCCTATTTTCAGTAGCTCATCTCTCTGAAGCTTCTTAGCAGTTTTTTAAGATGCAAAGGCAAACTAGGTGTGATGGCTCACACTTTATAATCCCACCACTTGGGAGACTGAGGCAGGAGGATTGCTATCAGTTCAAGCCAGCTTGGGCTACATAGGGAAAGCCTATCTATCTTTAAAAACCTAAATGAATAATCCTAAATGTTGGAGTTACAGTCTGTGGCCACTTTGTGTGATGCTGGTGATAGAGCTCAGGGCCTCTGTATGCAAGCCGAGTGCCGTACCATTAAAAGATTTACTTATTTTTATGTGTGTGAATGTCTGAATGTATGTATGTGCGTCCATGTGTTCCACAGAGGCCAGAAGTGGGTGTCAGATCCCCTGAAACTAGACTTATAGGTGGTTCTGAGCCACTGTGTGGGTTCTGGGAACTGAGCCTGGGTCCTCTGGAAGAGAAGCAAGCACTCTTAACTACTGAGCCATCTCTCCATTCCCTGTTTTCATTTTCTTGATGGAGAATTTATATATATGTATATATATATTTGTAAAGTTTTTATACACACACACACACACACACACACATGTATTTTTTTTTTCCCATTCTCCACAGCTAGGACAGAACATTTGTTTTATAAAAATGAAAATATCCTCTTGACTTGAATAAACTTTGGTGCACAAGTTGTCATTTACTGTGGCCTAGCAACATTATAAATACAGACTTTTAAAAATTATTTTTATGCCAGGCATCGTGGTGCACACCTTTGATCCTAGCACTCGAGAGACAGAGGCAGGTGGATCTCTGTGAGTTCCAAGCCAGCTGGGGCTACAGGGAGACCCTGTCTCAAAAAAAAAAAATTAAAAAAAAAAATTTTTATGATGCTGAGGGTTAAAGACGCAGATTTGAAAAAACAACAACAACAAAAAACAAAACCCAAATTGCTTTCCCTAAAACTCATGGAAGGATTCAGCATATCATTAAATGTTTTCAATCACCTCTCATAAAAACTTTTTCTTATGTATAAAATCTAGCATGGCAAAAAGATATTTCTGAATTGTTAAAGAAAAGCCAATGAAAACATCACATTTACAGAAACACCCCCCTTTATTGCAGTGTCACCACCACCTGTAACAGTGCCAGAACAGAACAGTAGTTACATATTTTAAATGAATTTAAATGAAATGAATAGGCATTTTTTTCTTCTTCCTAACTTCTGTGGAGTATTTTTTTTTTAATATACATGAAATTGTGAATAATATGAAGGGCAGACACTCTCCAGAATGGCTATATGATTTTTAAATGGCCTGAAATGTATCCCAAAATTGACAACCTCTTTGTAGTTTGAACAGTATATAGCTTTCTTGCTACACGACTAATCTCTCAGAAGCTATAAAGACTACTTTTTTGTTTGTTTAGAAAGAAACTCCATATGATTAAAACAGAAATTATTCTCTAAGAAATGAATATTGTCTATGAACAAGCAAGGGCTACTGCAAGAATTTTACATTGTGGCCAGGCATGGTAGCACACACCTTTAGTCCCAGTATGCCGGAGGCAGAGGTTAGCCTGGTCTACATAGGGAGTTCTAGGCCAGCTGGGGCTATAGAGAGACCCAGAAAGAAACTCCATATGATTAAAACAGAAATTATTCTCTAAGAAATGAATATTGTCTATGAACAAGCAAGGGCTACTGCAAGAATTTTACATTGTGGCCAGGCATGGTAGCACACACCTTTAGTCCCAGTATGCCGGAGGCAGAGGTTAGCCTGGTCTACATAGGGAGTTCTAGGCCAGCTGGGGCTATAGAGAGACCCTGTATAGAATTTTACATTGCATCATCTGTATTTTCTGTTTTAGCCACTTTGGCGGTTTGTTAATGATACTAAAGACAAAAGAGTATTAGTTTATAAGTCTGAAGATATCAAGAATGTTTCACGGTTGCAGTCTCCAAAAGTATGTGGTTATATAAAAGCAGACAGTGAAGAGTTACTTCCTGAAGGGCTCATAGACAGAAAACCACCTGAAGGTAAGATTTCAAAAGTATGTTTCAGAAATGACAGAAGCACAGTACAACTGTCTCCAGCAGGAGTGTTTGTTAATTGATTAAAATAGCATGATTATCAAGTAACTATAATATTTGGATTGAAAATAGTTTTGCTACAGAAATTCTTATTTCCTTTTCTATAATAGTTGAAAACATTAGAAAATAATAGGAGCAACAATCTTTTTTAAATTTTATGTGTATGAATGTATTGCCTGCATGTGAGTGTACCTGTGTTGTGCAATGCCGCAGAGGTCAGAAGAGGTCTTCGGATTCCCCTGGAACTGGAGTTAAGGATGGTTCATAGCTGCCATGTGGGTGCTGGGAATCAAACCCGGACATCTGTTTATGTCCTTGCAAGAACAGTCAGTGCTCTTAACTGCTGAGTCATCTCTCCAGCCCCACGGAGCAACAATCTTAATCAAGACTAAAGGAAGAGACAATGGAATGATTTAAGGAAAATTCTTTATTTGCAGCTCTTTAGAAATGCCAAAATAATATTTTTGAAAGGTAGTCTTGCAGAGTATGATGCACACCCTTTAATTCTAGCACTTGGTTGGCAGAAGCAGGTGGATTTCTGTGAGTTCCAGGTCAGCCAGGGCTACATAGTGAGTGCTGTCTCAAACAAAGCAAAACAAACAGAAAAGTAGCCCAAAAAGCTTGTGAGAGATTAAGTTGTCAATCTTGAGGCACATTTAGGGTCATTTAAAAATCATATAACCATTTCGGAGAGGTTCTGTCTTCATTTTTTATTTATTTATTTTTTATTATTTATTTATTTAATTTTTTTTCCTTTTTTTTTTTTTTTGTCTTTTTGAGACAGGGTCTCCCTGTAGTCCCAGCTGACCTGAACTCACTATGTAGACCAAGCTGGCCTTGAACTCACAAAGATCCGACTGCCTCTGCCTGATCCCCGCTGGGACTAAAGGCATGAGCCACCACACCCAGCTTATTTATTTTTTTTAAAGAGGCAAGGTTTCATTCTATTGCTCAGGTTGACTTGAATGACAGGCTCAGGCGATCTTCCTGCCTCCTCCTGAGTATACAGGTGTACACTGTCATGCCACCTTTTTGTTGTCGTTTATGAAGACCTTGAAAAGCCTTAACATTTTAGTATATTGCTAAGTAAACTCTTAGATAATTAGATTATTTGATAAAAATGTTAACAAAGATATTTTAAACCTTTTATTATAAGGATATATTTGTTTGTAACTGCTTGTATCCAGTTTCATTTTAAAAATGTCCTGGTGATTTTGTTTCTACTTGGGTCATTGAGACACCCCAGACTAACAAATGAGCTACATATGCTCATGGATATTTTTCTCTATGTACACATATATGACTATTCATATGTGTGAATATGTGTGTACTTCTGTATAGTCCATAAATATACCTTCACTTGTGGGCAAGACATTAGACAGGCCTGTTTGTGTGAGGGCCATGAAAGTTTCAGCTTAGCATTGATGATCTTAGCAGTACCTCCAAATCCCCAGAATTACTACTCTTTTGTTTGTTTGAGACAGGGTCTTGTTATACAGCCCATGATGGCCTTCAGCTCTCCATCCTCAGACTCCTAAGTGCTGTGATTATAAATGTGTGCCGCCATATGTGGCTCATACCTAGCTTACTTAAGTTTTAATATATGATTACCTTGATATTTTTACTATTACTTTGATTAATTCATGGAGTCCTAAAAGAAAATGACTGGTGGAGTCCTAACCTAGTAATAGATAATTATTTTATTGTATAATATACACTTTAAATTTTTCTTTCTTTTTGTGGTGGTGAGCCTTACATATCCTAGGAGCCTCTTGCTTTTGAATTCTACAATTTAAGACTTTGTACTACTTTTTACTTTTCTATCTTCCTGCAAATTGTTTTTTAACTCAAGATACCATTAAGGAGCCAAATGTGGTAGTGCATGCCTATAATCCCAGCACTTGGGGTGTGGAGGCAGGAGGATCAGGAGTTAAAGGTCATCCTTGACTACATAATGAGTTAAAGATCAGTCAAGGCTGAATGGGACCCAATCTCAACTCTCCCTTTCTGAAAAAGAAAACGATGCCTTTAAGGATACTAAGCTTAAATAATGCTTGTTGCAGAAACACTAGATTTAAAGTGCTACTATAAAAAACCCTCCTTGTTTTGACGAATTTTGATTTAATAGTGCATACAAATTCATATTAGAGTTTGTTCATCGAGTGAAGAGAAGAGCTGAGCCAAATCCTATGAAGAACACGTGTAAATTACTGGTGGTAGCAGATCATCGCTTTTATAAATACATGGGCCGAGGGGAAGAGAGCACCACTACCAATTATTTAGTAAGTATTTGATATTGCATAGGGCAGTTAGACAAATAATTTATGTGGGTGGATAAATTCCAGTCAGAGAAGGCTGTAGTAATTTACCACTTAAAGAAACCATGCCTGTTCCAGGTACTGTTATTTTCTTTTAGTTAATTTGAAGGCAGTTATCTTCGGTTCTTATATTACTATCTGGAAACTAAACTTCAAACTTACGTCAACTCATTTTACTTTTAAGTTACTATTCTCTGTGCATTAGACTTTTATGCACATTAAAATAGAGGGAAAGTTCATAATGTCCTTTTTTTTCTTCCTTTTTTTTTATTATTTTAATTTTTAATGTGTATGCGTGTATTGCCTGCGTGTAAGTGCACCCATGTTGTGCAATGCCCGTGGAAGACAGAAGAGGCTGTCGGATCCCCTGGAACTGGAGTTACGGACAGTTAGCTGCCATGTGGGTGCTGGGATTCGAACCCTGGTCTTCTGCAAGAACAGTCAGTGTTCATAACTGCTGAGCCATCTCTCCAGCCCTATAATGTCCTTTCTTTATACTAGCGAGCACCTAACAAATGTCAGTATCACATGCATAGATTTGTGTTTCAGAATTAAAAATTATTCTTCTTTTCAGTGCTGGTGATCAAATATTTTTTGGTAAATCATGCTTTGCCTCCCTCATGCATGTTAAGCAAGGCCCTTCTACTGAGCCTATCCCCAACCTGATAGGGGACTTTTGAGCTTCAGCTGTTAAATTTTCAAAGTCAGGGAAATCATTTTTCACCAAGTGCCCTCTCCCCCTACCCCCAGTATGACCTTATTCCTCATGGTAACTTGGGAGTGATTTAAATGTTGTCTTTGAGGGAATAAGAGAATGCAACTATTCATGCACCAGCAGCCTTGTACAGTAAAGATGTCTTTCTCACTGCTGTGCCTGTCCCATTCTTTCTGTTTTGTTCATACCCCCCGCCCCTTTCACCCTGCTTTCCTGCTCTTTCTGTCATGTGGATGAATTTATTAGGAGAATAGTGGGAGTCATTGTAATTGTTCCTAAGCAAGAGAGATTGTCGAACATTTTAATCTGGGCTTTTGTATTAAAGGGCTCCTTCTGTTTCTTTGTATAGTACATCATGAATATGAGTGTGATGTAAGGTCTAGTTTTAAAAATTGCATTTCTTATAGTTTAAAGCAAATAACAGTATCTTAGACCTATAACTTACTTTACTACTTCAGAACTTGTACAAACCTTGTCAACCCATTTAAAAAAATATTTTATTTAAAAAATTTTATGTGTATGAGTGTATTGCTTGTGTGTGTGTAAGTGCACCTGTATCCTGCAGTGCCCATGGAAATCAGAAGAGGGCATCAGATTCCCTGGGACTGGAGTTATGGACAATTGTTAGCCACCATGTGGGTGCTGGAAATTGAACCTGGGCCCTCTTCAAGAATAGTCAGTGCTCTTAACTGCTAAGCCATCTCTCCAGCCTCTGTCAACCCATTTTATTTTTATTTTTTATTGTTTTTATTTTATGTATATGAGTGTATTGCCTGAATGTGTGTACGTGCACCCATGTCGTGCAGTGCCCAAAGAAGTCAGAAGAGGATATCAGATCCCCTGGGACTGGAGTTAGCATTTTTGTTCTTTCCCATGTAGTAATTATGCTGTGCCTTTGTGCCCAGTCTTCCTAAATCAGAGGCTGGAAGGAGGAATGGTGGCAGTAGGTACCTCCTTCCTCTGGCCTTCTTTTCCTTACTGTAGAATCTTGTCGGGTAAGGAAATAGAAGTAGCGGGTTACTGGGACTGGGGGAGACAGCTCAGAGGTTACAGAAAGTCACATAAATTCTGGGTAAGTCTGTCAGCCTACCTGTATGTAATTCCAGCCTTTGATGGTGGGGATGGAATCCCCAGAGAAAGCTGGCTAGTGAACTAGCTTTATTGGTAAGCTCTGGGTTTGAAGGACCCTGCCTCAATGAATAAGTAGAAGAGCAGGTGATGATGATGCCCTACAGCATCCTTAGGCCTCCACATGCATGTGTACACACACAAATACACATGCATGCACGTGCACACACAGGCATGCATGCAAAACCATGCATACACCATACACATAAGAAAAATGGGGAGGGGAAAGGAGTTATTGCTTCCATTTTACCTGTTCAAGGAGCACTTATGAGACAGAGTGAAGATAGACTTTTTAAAATGGAATAATTTTCGGTAAATCAATGGATTTTTTCATATTCAAGTTGACTGGAAAGACAGGTTTTTTTTTGGTCTTTTTGAGACAGGGTCTCCCTGTAGCCCCAGCTGTCCTGGAACTCACTATGTAGACCAGGCTGGCCTTGAACTCACAGAGATCCACCTGCCTCTGCCTTCCGAGTGCTGGGATTAAAGGTGTGAACCACCACACCCGGCCTTGGTTTTGTTTTGTTTTTTTATGTGTATGAGTGTATTGCCTGCATGTGTGTAAGTGTACCTGTGTTGTGCAATGCCCACAGAGGTCAGAAGAAGGCATTGGATTTCCTGGAACTGGAGTTACAGTTGTTAGCCACCATGTGGGTGCTGGGAATCGAATCCAGGTCCTCTGCAAGAGCAATCAGTGCTTTTAACCACTGAGCCATCTCTACAGCCCTGGAATGACAGTTTTAAAAAAGCCTGATACTTGATACTTTGGTTCTGTATATTATGTTGCAGAGTGGTAAAGATGTACATAATGTCTTCTTTTTATATACAGATAGAGCTAATTGACCGAGTTGATGACATATATCGGAACACTTCGTGGGATAATGCAGGATTTAAAGGTTATGGAATACAAATAGAACAGGTATTTATCAGTATGTGGCCTTGTGTTAATCCATGAAGTTATATACACTAAATTTTCTTTTCAAAATACAAAAGCTTATCTTTCTTTTTCTTTTTTTTTTTTTTTTTTTTTTAACCTCCTGTAGCCCAAGCTGGCCTGGAACTTGGTATGGATACCAGGCTGGCCTCTATCTCACAGAGATCCACCTGCCTTTGCCTCCTGAGTCTTGGAACTACAGGCGTGTGCCACCTTGACTGACTTGTGTGTTTATATAGATTGTAAGGTTTTCTATCTTGAAGCTTGTTTTAGGCAGAAAAATCTCTTAATGCTGTCATACAGACTTTTATCCCCCATAGTGTTTTCTTTTTTCTTTTTCTTTTGGCCTTTTTGAGACAGGGTCTCCCTGTGGCTCCAGCTGTCCTGGAACTCACTATGTAGACCAGGCCGGCCTTGAACTCACAGAGATCCACCTGCCTCTGCCTCCCTAGTGCTGGGATTAAAGGCGTGCGCTACCACGCCTGGCGCTGTAGTGTTTTCTTAATCTCTGATTAGGCTTCAGTCTTTAGTTATAGTCCTAGTATATATTACTGGATCCTTAGGAAAGTTTACTGAGGACTTTAGTAGAGGACATTTACATGCACAGAGCCAGCAGTTTCTCTTTTTTAAAACATCTTCTGTTTCCTCAGCTGTTAAAGGCATGACCAGCAGTGCTTTGCTAATGTCATCATAATTTTATCTCAGTAAAAATTGTTCTTGCATGCCTTTAATCCCAGAACTTGGGAGGCAGAGGCACGTGGATCTATCTTTGTGAGTTCAAGGCCAGCCTGGTCTACATAGTGAGTTCTAGTACAGCTGGGGCTACAGGGAGACCCTGTCTCAAAAAGACTGGAAAAAAAAAATTGTTCTCAATGATTTTGAAATTGATTATTGCTTTGGACAAATAGACATTTTCATATAATTCTGAATAATTTTTCCAGGTTCTTTATATTGAACCATAGTCTTATAGGCTATATTGTGTAAAATTTAGAGATTAGAAAAAAGGAAACTCAAAAAAACAATTTAGTTTGATTTAGTGGCATATGCCATTAATTCCAGTTCTTGGCAGGCAGAGGCAGGAGGAGCTCTGCAAGTTCCAGGCCAGCCTGGTCTATATAACAAGTTCCAGGTCAGCCAGGACTTAGATAGGCTCTGTCTCAAAAAACAAACCAAACAAATATTTTTGAAATCATGGAATATTTCATGGAATAATCATGGAATCATCAATGAAATCATGTGGAACTTTTGATAGTATTTATAAAACTAAGAGAACTATTGTTCTCTTCCATTTCCTCTAACCTACAGACATCCCTGTCAGTAGTTTCATGTATATTTTCCCAGAGATGTTGTATATAGAGTGTACTTGTATAGGTAAGTCTGTGTTTAACACAATGGCAGTATGCTGTACATTTTTGCATCTTGGTTTGGTTTTTTTTTTCGGTCTTTTTGAGACAGGGTCTCCCTGTAGATTCAGCTGACCTGGAACTCACTATGTAGACCAGGCTGGCCTTGAACTCACAGAGATCTGCCTGCCTCTGCCTCCCAAATTCTGGGACTAAAGGCGTGTGCCACCATACCTGACACACCTTGTTTTTTTTTTACTTATGGCATGCTGGAGATTATTTCATATTAATATTTAGAAAGTGAACTACTTGTTTTAAAAATTACTGTACCATGTTCAGGTTTTTTTTAGGGAATCAATAAATAGAAGTTCCTTTTTACCTTAGAAACTTGGAACCAGTTGAAGAACATAGCAATATAGGAAACAGAAATATCAACTTTATAATAGATGTGTTGGAGGATGTGATTTTTATAGTTATGTTGGATTCCAGTTGCTTTATATCAGAATTGACCTTGTCCACTCACCACCAAAACTACTAAGGCCTTCCCTGATAAGCTTACCATGCAGTGTTAGTGCACACCAGGTAGGCCCTCTGTAGACAGGGAAGAGAGAGACCAGAAACTGCTGGCTTCTTTTCCTTTTCCTCTGACTCACTAATTAGAAAAAGTGTTCCTTTCTTTTCTTCTTTGCAGATTTACTATGAATTTGTTTTAAATGCATGATACAAGTAGAAGCTCCAGTTTCTTATTCTTTGGTACAGAAAGTGATGTACATCATAATTCTTCTTTCTAAATTATTGACTATAGTTTTAATAAATATTTTAGGCTCATGTAACCTAAGTATTCACTTTTTTTCAAATAAATGTGAATGACATGAAAAATTTAGAACTTTTATAACATTTTAAGTAATTTATTGACATGTATTTTCCATATTACATGCTTTTCAGTTTTTTAAAGTCATTAACTATTAGAGCTGAGAATTTGGGTTGTGTATTTCTCGCATGTGTGTACATGCACCTGTGTCATGCAGTGCCCAAGGAGGTCAGAAGAAGGTGTTGGATCCCTTGGAACTGGAGTTAGGGGCAGTTATTAGCTGTTATTTGGATGCTGGAAATTGAACCTGGGTCCTCTACAAGAGCAGCCAGTGCTCTTAACCATTGAGCATCTCTCCAGCCCTTGGTTTCAGTTTTCTTCTTTCTTTCTTTCTTTCTTTCTTTCTTTCTTTCTTTCTTTCTTTCTCTTTCTTTCTTTCTTTCTTTCTTCCTATCTCTCATCC